TAAGGCGTGTTATTAATTTTTCTTCTTCTAATGTCTCCTTTTTATCCTTCATTAAATGTTCGTATGTGTTGTTTAATTTTTAAATTATTTACGTTTGATGGAGGCAAAGTTGAAAACTTATTTAATTTAAAATAAAATTAATGAGTTTAAAGGTTTTATTTAGTTTCAGTTAAACATATTAAAAGTAATTTATAAATAAAAATAAAATAGTAATTATTTAAATCTTGTTGAGAATAGTATAGTGTATGCAAACTAGAGTCGCCCTTCATTTTGTATCAACTATAATTTTCTTTGAAAATTCTTCACATATGACGTTGAAGAACTTGGATTCGTGCCTACTTATTATATCTTCCCTATTTGTGATGCGCGACTAATTTCAACGTAAGAGTAGAATACGTATATATCATTGGCCATCATGCATTTATTAAATCTGAATCATTTCTAATTTTTTGATTAAGCTTTGGGTGAAGACCATTTGAGAAATTTGGCAGAAAGTCTCAAGGTAATTAGTTTCCTAATCACGCATTAAAACCCTCCGGAAGTCACACGGAAAGGGGTAAAACCTCAAGTCGTACTTTAAAACCCATTACAACTATATCCCACACTCAAGAGATGTTGGACATATGAAATAAATTTTTAGACCCTATCTTTATATATGCTTAATATTGCACCAAAAACAGAAGAAAAAAAATCAGTTTCGTTTTAGATTATTTATCCACCTTCAATGCTCTTGCATGTGTAATCATTAAGAACTTGCACTACAAAAAAAACATGGTTTTAGCGACGGAATTTTACATTTAGTGACGGAATTAGCGACGGAATTTTTTCCGTTGCTAACTCGATTTTTTAAAAAATAAAATAAAATGCCACGTGGCACCTTTACCAATTGCCACGTCATCACTGAGACCACCTCCACCACATCTACTAGTGTAGTGTCACACCTCTGCCTGTCACGTGTGCCTGTCACCTCACCTCTGCCTGCCACGTGTGCGCCACGTGTCACCACCACATAATTTCCGCATGTGCATCTTTACCAGTTGAGCTGCAATGAACCTGTTAACTTATTATGTAAAATTAAATATATATTATATTATTTTACACAAACAATTATATATACATATATATTATTAAAAACTAAAAATATACTATATGATAATTTTAATAATAACTATTTTAATGAAAAAATATTTTTTAAATATTTTTTTCTTATTTTTATAATTTTTTATTTTTTAAAAATCTTTTTAATATAATTTTAATTTCTAACGACACTAATTTTGAATTTTACATCATAAATAATTTTTCATAAATATTTTTTAAATTTATTTTTTAATTAACATTGATAAGATATAAAATTTAATTATATATATATATATTATATTACATTATATTATATATGTATATGTGGTTTATATATTTGAAGAAAATCATTTACAATTAGTCAAAAAATCTTGTTATTCAAAAAATTCAAAAAATAACTACTATAATAAAATCTAATAAATTATTTTATATAAAAAATTAAATGATTTAAATAGATTATGATAAACAGTATTTTCCTACTTGTATATATACCCTATGTAATTTATTTTCTTAAACTTTGCAGCAGAATTTGTGACAGAAACAAATTCCGTTGCTAATTTCTAACGGAATTGCGACGGAATTTCCGTCGCTAATTTTTTTGACGGATTAGCGACAGAATTAGCGACGGAATTGTCTGACAGAAAAAGATTCCGTCGCTAATTCCGTCGTTAAATACGGATTAGCGACGGAATTTAGCGACGGACAGAAATTCCTTCGCTAATCTGTCAAAAAAATTAGCAACGGAATTTCCGTCGCAAATTCCGTTGCTAATTTGCGAATTTGCGATGGAATTTGTTTCCATTGCAAATTCCATCGTTAGTGTTGCAAGCGTGCCGATTTAGTTTCCTCACTTCCACACTTGGTGGGGCTACCATTGTGAACATTTCTCCGTGTGTATACCCCACCACCCTCATATATGTAAACAAATATCTTCAACGTCATTAAAATAAATTTGAATCAATTTTTTTGGTTTTTTGAAAAAAAAAAACGATAGTTATATTACAATTTAACGCGAATACAAAGAAGCCCATACTTAATTTCGTGGTAGAACTGGAAAGGAAAAACACTACAAACTAATTAAATTTGGGCGTTTTCTTGTATACTTATTCGGATAAGGATAAAAGCCAATGATGTAATTTATATTTGAATTAGTTTTCATATAAAAGTCAGTTTGATAAATACTCCCTCGGTCCCTCTTTATAAACAACAACTACCATCACTTTCTTGTCCCTAAATATAAGTAATATTTATAAGTTATCTTAAATTTTTGTTGCAAATTTTTTATTTTACCTCTATGAATTAGTTATCCTAATACCCAATATATTTATTATCTTATTTACCAAACCATCATTTCTCTCCATCCACATTTTTTCTTTTTCATAATTCTCTTTATTATAATATTTTTTATTTTCTTTCTTATGTACTCTCTCTCCTCAATAAATAAGGATATTTTGAAGGAGGAATTTTTAATCCCCACTTATTGATTATTTTTAACTTATTTTTTGATTTACATAATAGATTCAAGGTTGCTTATAAAAGAGACAGAGGGAGCAATATGTTTATTTGGATATTAAAATGGTTATAGAATGGCTAAAGACGAATATTTGGGATAAGAATTCAGAAGCTGCTTTTTCATTTTTGTGGGAAAAAGTTAGTTCGGGCTTACAACATGATCCCAAACACAACGTGAATCGTACGCTAAAAAGCCGACAAAGAGATTCCATGACTGACGAGTCAAAAGTACCTTTAATTGCATTGGTTGCCTGGCCTCTTCCCGTATATTTGCATGCATGTGCCGTTATTCAATAATTTAATTTGCTCTCCATGTGATGTGCGTACGGGGTACGGGTGCAGGTGTTTATTTCTTTTTCACCCGCTTATAAAATTCCAACACCAGCTTCCTTTCATATGCCTTAGCCCTGTTTGTTTAAATTAACTACTACTCCTCTGATCTTTAATATGAGATATAATTTTTGAGTTAGTTTTAATTTTAAATATAAGATCTATTTTTTATATTTATCAATTTTTTTTAAATTATCTCTATGGATACTACATCAACTAGAATCAAGTAGAAGAGGGAGAGGGTATTAAGAAAGATGATTATGGTATTTTAGAAAAAATGTGTTACTTTTCTTATAATTAACTAATTTACCCAATTTTCAATCTAATCAAATTAGTTAAATGGGTCTTATATTAAGGATCAAAAGAGTATTATTTATGAAAAACATAGATTAATTTATATTCTAAAGTGTTTTTTAATCATTAACTACTTTTTAATGAAATTTTTTTGTCATAATCAATATGAAGATTTTGAGAAAAAATTTATAAATTTGGGAAAATAAACTGTTAAATCAAAATAAATCTGGGAGGGAGTAATACTATTTTTTTTTTGGCCAAAGGGAGTAGTACTATTTTACACCAGAAAAATCCACACAATGAAAATTCATCCTTGTCAATTTATCTCCACATTAATTCACCCCTGCTGCAACGGGTTCCACGAGTTCTGTGATTCCTTACTCCTCACTTGCAGTGATCTAAATCATTATGATTTGAACCCTTTAGATTCTATAAAGTCATATGATCGTTCAACCATCAAGTCCATTTGTTAAAATGATATAAAATAATACATAAAATAATTATCAAAGCAAATGATCCTATCTTAAGAAATTTACCGCAGTCGAGGCGGAGTTTGCTACGCTTTAAAGTGAGATTCATCATTTTACGTAAGCAAATCACGACACGTTTTATCAATTCCACACTTAGGACTGTTCATATGATATGCCATGTACGTTCTGGGGAATTTGCTACATCATAGGCGGAATTTACTACTCTTTTAATGAAATTGTCAAAAAGTTGTTTAATGACATTCATCAAATGGTGTCACCTGGTGTTGTCGGTAACTTGGTACCACTTGCAGGGTAGTACATGATGACTTAAATTGTGACCCGTGAAAAAAAAGGTTATAAATTGCTAATGTGAAATGGTGAAAATTAGTCACGCGCAATCCGTATCAGCAGCGTTTACAGCGGTATCTGCACAATTTCCGTGACGTACCCTATTCCGTGTTTATTACTCACACCATCTTTATTCACTGACCGGCTTTTTGGGCTTCACCTCAGACCCCACTCAAACATGAATTCCTTTTTCATTTCCCGAAACTGAAATAAAAATTTTAAAAAACAGAAATCAAATAAGGGCTTAGGCTTCTCCCAAGGTTTGCTGGACGTCTCACCGCTAGAAAGGCTTCATTTTGACTGAAAAAAACATGATAAGTCTTTCTTTTTTCTTTGGACCAAAAGGTGAGGACTTGCATTGTAAATGTAATGCGAACATATTATTATATATTATTACTATTTTTTGAACAGGATAGTTATTTGTTCAGTTTTATATTTCTCAATAGCGAACACATACGCCAGACCTCAAGAAAAGGAGTAGAAACGAAAATTAAAAGGTAGAGTCAGAGTGCTTTATTAAGAGGGGGTTTGGGTAAGAACAAAATCATGGTTTCAGAAGTACTTTTACGGTATATGAAGTAAATATATAGAGGAGTTTGTCTCGATTTATGAAAAAGTGTTTTTGAAAAGTGACTATGGCTGTTCCAAACACCTCCTAAAATGAATTTCAGTAAGAAATCTGATTTGATTTTTTTACTTTTTACCAGCTGCTCGTAGGAAATTTGACTAGGCTTTTGGGTCAAGGTCACTGAGTGATTTCCTATAGTGCTGTCTTATCCACCTACTCAGAGCACTGGAAAATTCCAACTTGGGAGGACTGCCTTTCTTTAATCAGGGGAACTTCTCAGAAGCCGCACGGAATCGAACTTAGCTTTGCTTTTATTTGTAATCTACAATTATTTATTATTCATTTTGTTTCCTCTATATACAAGAGAATTCTAATTTTTCCGCATATCAAAGCAATCTGATATGGCTTCATCTTCCTCCCCTGCTCCATCTTCTCAATATCCAGGGCCACATGATATTTTTGTGAGTTTTAGAGGTGAGGACACCCGCGGAAATTTCACCAGCCACCTTCATGCAGCCCTTCGCAGAAACGAAATCGATACATACATCGACGAGGGAATTGAGAAAGGAGATGAGGTATGGCTGTGTCTTGAGAAAGCCATTGAAGATTCAACTATGCTCCTTGTGGTGTTGCTTGTGGTGTTCTCAGAAAACTATGCATCTTCCACGTGGTGCCTGAAGGAACTTGCAAAAATATTAGACCTCTGCAGAAATCAAGATCACCTTGTTATACCTGTGTTCTATAAAGTAGAACCTTCAGACGTGAGGAAGCAGTCTGGGAGTTAAAAGAAAGCACTTGAAGAACATGATTACAAAGGCATCAACACGCAACAACTGCACCAGTGGAGGGAGGCTCTCGCTAAAGCTGCTGGTATATCTGGTTTTCCCATCACCGATAGGTAACTACATGCTTATGATCTTTCTCTTACCATGTTCTTGCATGATGAATGGGGCTAAATTAAATCAATCTTTGAGCATCTCATGGGATTTGATAATCATAATGAGAGGACAGGATCTCATATATATACACGCTGCTTAGCCAGTCCACTAGGCCCGTCAACTTTATTGTTACGATATTTTTCATCTAAATCCCGTCTCACCATGGTCATTATGATGCATTCATAGCCATTAAATTAAGCTGAAATTTTATATATCTAGTTTAAGGTATCTGGTACTTCCTCCGTTAAGCGTATAAAAAGGATAACTTTTTTTTATCCAAAATACTCTCGCTCATGTGGAAGAGAGATAATATATGAGAGATAGAATGTGTGGTAATTAAATGTAATAATAGGTGTAATTTGAGTAATTAAATAGGATAAAATGAAAAATAAACAAACAAAATTTGAGACATCTTTCAAATATCTCTTATAGAAAGAAACATAACATACTTTACAATTACCTCTTATAACTATAATAAGGAGCAGTTTCCGAAGAAACTATTAATAAGAACACATTTGAAAATTGACAAGTATTCAAATTTGCATTTTATTAGGAATAGTTTAAAATTTTGAATAGATAAAGCGATATTAAATTTGGTGCATCTTTGCTTTTCCAATGGCGTGCAGTGATAATGAAGCACACAAAATTGAAAAAATAGTGGAAAGTGTCAACAAAAGGTTGCGCAAACAGTATCCCGAAGATAATGGAGAAGACTTGATTGGAATTGAAGAGAAAATGCAACACGTAGAATTATTGTTGGACAAGGAGTCCAACGATGTCCGAATTATTTGCATTTGGGGGATGGGCGGTCTGGGCAAAACAACCCTTGCAATAGCATTATTTAAGAAGCGGCGTTATAAATACGAAGGGTCTGTCTTTATGGAAAAAGTGGGAGAAAAATCAAAGAATCGCGGAATAGAGGATGTGAAGAAAGATCTTATTTCGGAATTATTTGGGGATAAAAATGCTCACACTAGCCCTTACGACAAGAGGAGACTTCAACGGAAAGAAGTTTTCATTGTTTTGGATGATGTTGATAGTTATGATCAAGTAAACGATTTGGTTGGAAGGCGCGATTTGTTTAGACCAGGTAGTAAAATCTTAGTAACAACTAGAAATAAAAAAATCCTTGGTGCTAAGGTAGATGTAGATCGTGATGCTATATATGAACTGAAGGGTTTGGATTTTGAGGAGGCTTTTCAACTTTTCTCTTTACACGCCTTTGGAAAAGACCGCCCTGCCCCTGACCAAAAACTAAGAGAGTTGGCACAGAAATTGACTAGGTATGCAAATGGAAATCCACTGGCCCTGAAAGTTTTAGGTTCCTCCTTGGCTAATGAGAAAAATCAAGAAGTCTGGGAAAGCCGATTAGAAAAACTTCAAAAATTACCAGATCCACAAATTAACGAAGTCCTAAAAGTAAGTTTTGAAGGACTTGAGGCTGGAGAGAAAGAGAGTTTCTTGGATATCGCATGTCTTTTAACCGAATATAATGATTTTATGGGATTTCTTTCAACTGATGATGTTGAGGCGGTAAAAGATTTGTTAAAAGCCCGACGTGGTTATGCAGTCCATTTTGAATTGGAAAGACTTAAAGAGACGGCTCTTTTACAAGTTGATGAATCTGGGAGCATATCGATGCACGATCTGCTAAGAGAAATGGGTCGACAGGCTGTTCGTGATGAGTCACCAAAGCATCCTAGAAAGCGCAGTCGATTATGGGATCCTAAAGAAATATCTGAAATATTGGGGGCAAAAAAGGTAAGAGCAAAATTTCTTCATATTTTTTATATAAAATTTTTTTGAAGTCAGTATTTTATTACCAAAGTCAATTTTTTCCATTTGTTAGAGAAGTAAAGCCATTGAAGGTGTAAGCCTGAACCTTCGAGAAGTTGGAGAGAAGCGCTTAAGTGCTGGGGCCTTTCGTTCAATGCCCAAACTAAAGATTCTTAATATTTATTCTTATGAAGAAATCGATGGTGGGGATGAAGTGGATGTAGAAATTCCTGACGGATTAGACTTTTTGCCAGAAGGACTCATAAAATTGCGTTGGATAGCATACCCTTGTGAGTCCTTGCCAGCAACATTCAAGGCTGAAAGTCTTGTTCAATTGGAAATGCCCTTCAGCAGTCTGACAAGACTTTAGGATGGAGTGCAGGTGAATTTTATATTTTGTTCTTAGTGAATATTGTTAATACATCAGTTGGAAAATCTTTATTAAGTACTCTCTCCTCAGTCCATTTTATAAGGTCCGGATAAAATCTCTTACAAAATTCAATGAAATATTGATAGCCCATTCTAAATAAATGCCTTCGTCTTTCACCCTCACACTAGGCTCCATGACCTTATAAAGATTACTATCCCTGTTGAACTATAAGCATCAAATCTTTGAAGGTTTTTTTTTTATTAGTTATAATTTGGATTTACCTAATCATTAAATACATCATTTTTATTTTTGCTTTTCATTAATTATATATCTTTCTAATTCTTTTTTCCCCCACTTATTCTCTCATATCTCTTTTTCTACATATTTTTTCTCTCACTTATCCTCTTCATAAACAAACGTGTTATAAGAAAATAAGTTATATTTTCTTTATTTATTTATTTATTATCTTTAACTAATTTTATTCAAGTTATGTGATCTAGTTATTTCATATCTTCCGTCGGAGGGAGTATTGATTAAGATCATGAAAAGTTGTAAAATTTGTTGAAATATAGCTAATTTCAACTAATTTTCTGAGGAAAACAGAGAGCGAAACCTTATAAAAAGAAGTAGATGAGTAATTTAATTTGGTTTTGGCCACCAATCTTATCATGTAATTTATGTTTTCACAGAATCTTGTGAACTTAAGCAAAATTACGCTCCGTGAATCAGAAGAGTTGATTGAACTCCCAGATTTTTCCAAGGCCACAAGTCTTAAACATGTTGATCTCGAGCAGTGCTTAAAATTGCGGAGTGTACATCCATCTATTTTATCTCTCCCCAGCCTGTGTCGTTTATCGCTAGGCTCTTGCCTGTCCCTTACCAGCCTTACAAGCAATACCCATCTCCAATCTCTCATTGAGCTCGATGTACTTGGGTGCTCAAGTCTGGAGGAATTTTCAGTGACCTCAAAAAAAGAAGAGCTCTATTTACAACTTTCAGGATCTGCCATCAGTGGTGCGTTGCGCTCATCAAGTGGGCATCGCAGCAAAATTCGTTCATTTGTCTCTAAGCCGTTGCAGAAATGTGACAAGCGTTCACAAATTGATTAAGCTGCGTGGCCTTCAACATCTTCATGCTGGAGGGTGTAATAAGCTAGCATCACCTCTCCTGTCCAAGTGTGATAAGATGGGTGCTTTGGAAATTCTATCGCTTCCGTATTGCAATGAATTATCTGAACTTCCTAACGACATCAGCTTCCTGTCATCATTACGTCAGTTGCATCTCTCAAGGACTCATGTAGAGACCTTGCCTTCGAGCATCAAACATCTTTCACGCCTTCAACGTCTTGAACTGGATGGATGTAAAAGGCTTCGTCGTCTACCTGAGCTCCCTCCCTCTATTTTGACATTGACTGCCACCAACTGCACATCCCTTAAGACCATAGAATCCCTTGAGACCATACAATATTCACCTTCGACAAACGAAGGTGAAAAAGGAAAATATCACGCATGTCCGTGGTTTTTATTCACAAATTGCGAGAAGCTGAATCGACGGGCAATCAAAGCTGCTGAGGCAAGAGTCCTACTTGAGGTAAAGAAAGCCACTTATGACTATGCTGGATTGGAATATCCAGGAAAAAGAGTTCCAAAGTGGTTCATGTATAGGGATAAAGGGTCTTCGGTGTCTGTGAATCTCAGTTCGATTCCAAATTCTGAGGATGGGGGATTCCTTTTTTGCGCCGTCTTTTCTAAATTAGCACCATATGGGGGAGGAAAAATTGTTGCCAAATGGTTTCTTGATGGTAAATATGCTTGCGGGGCCGCTAAAAGGTCGTTTTACCTGGCTTGGCCGGCGTTCTCAAAGGATGTTGATCTTTGGCATGTCCGTCTTTGGTTTGTTCCTGATTCACTTGGAGAACTAAAAAGGAAAATTGAAGAAAGGAAAAGAAATGGTCAGAGCAACATGGAGCTTAAAGTTAAATTCGAAGTTTGTAGCGTAATAGAGATCAAAAGGTGTGGGGTATGCCCGACATCTGCAGTTGAATATCAAGATGGTGACATTAAACAAATTCAATGGCCATTGCCTCCTCAGCCTGGCTCTAATGCAATGGAAGCGGCCTCTCGAAAGCGCAAATATCGCAGCTAGCTTGGATGAATTTGGAGAAATGATTTTGAGTTTTAAAGCTCCCAAGTTGAATGATGCGTACACATATGGCTCCCACTCACTTCAAAAAGGTATCGTACTCTTGTTTTAGCAGCGGTAGATATGATTTTTGTTCATAGTACCTCTTTTTGGTTTGTAACTACTAATTACAATCACGGGGAATAAAAGTTATTAACCTTTAAATATAAGAGAAATAGTGACAAGAATGTCTCTTTTTTCTGACTCGCCCGATGCCTGTCACCTCATGCACATGGTGTGGCAGCCCCAATTTGTTGAGGTTTGTCCTTGCATTAATATCTTTGGAGCAAATTTTCATATCTCAAGTTAAGCATGCCAATGAAATCTTATATGTTGTTGGTTTCAATTTCATCCACCGACTCTGTTCAATTGTTTAGTGCTTATTTTTGACAGATCCCTTGCCGGCTAAACAGAGTAGAAGGGCTCATTGTTCAATCAATCAGCAATGCTTATAGTCCACTCTTCGTATAATTTTCTTTCTCTCTGCTCTCCATTCTTCATTCGGTGCTGCCTTTTCCATTCAGTATGAAATGAACAAACAAAGTTGTATTGGCGACAATATGTAAAAAGCATTCATACATTTTGATTTCAAGGTTCAAGTTCATTTTCGTCTGTTCCCTTGCATAACTCTGTCGTTGAGGATTTTCTTGGCACAAAGGGCCTTTAGTCTTGCCCTACGGTTTAAATGAGTCTCTTTCTATAAGTACTCTGTTAATAACTATTCTTGTGCCACTACTTCTGCTCTCTTCTTCGCAACGTCCGCAAAAAGAGAGAACTTTATCCTTTTTTTCAAAACAAAGTATTCCAACTGTGCAAATGCCAAAGCCCAAATAAAGGCATACTAGTCCAAGGAGGACAGAAATTCAACTTATTTAAACTTTTATTTTATAATTAAAAAAAAAAAAGAGGGAAATGATTGTGAATGTTTTGCAACTCTTTGGGGTTCCCTCGCCCCAATACCACATCATAATTAAGGATTGGAGTTTCATCGCTTATATGTCGTAAGGGAGATCATACTGAAGTTGCTGGGAAAGGCTTTGCGAATATCAAAGATGAATATCTCATCAGTTGACGAAGACATAAGAAGCTGATGGAAGAAAGTGCGACTTACAAATCTTAATATTGCACAAGCATATGATTTTGCTGGTTTTGAGCAAACCCAGGCAAAGACTTAATTATAATATTAAATGTTCCTATGTATACCTCAATCATTAGGTTGAGATGTTTTTATTACGTGCGCAGTGGCATTTAATATCCCCCAATTATTAATACAACTTCCACGTGGTGCTTGAAGGAGCTTACAGAAATATTAGAGTGTTCTATAGAGTAGATCCTTCACATATGAGGAAGCAATCCGAGAGTTACCAGAAAGCATTTGAAGCACTTGAGCAGAAAAGCATCACCATTTCAAGCAACAACTGCAAAAGTGGAGGGAGGCTCTCACTCATGCTGCCAATTTAATTATCTGGTTGGGATTCTGGCTTTGGATAGGTAACTATATATATATATATGCTTGATTATGATTGATGTCTCTCTTATCGTGATCTTCCATGCCTATAGGGCTAAATTAAATAAAAACTAAATCTTTAACTGTTATATTAAAATTAAAATTGAAAACAACCGGACCCAGCCTCCATTCGATATACATGGATATTATTTCTACATCATTTTCTGAGAGACAACAATTTATATATCCCATGTTAAGCACGTGAATGAAATTAAATCTTACATTTTGTTAGTTTCAATCTCCTCCACCGATCCTGTACGTTCATTTGTTCTGTACTTATTTTGGAAAGTAGAAGGGCTTCGTTGATCAGTCAGTCAGCAATGTTTATAATAGTCCCCTCCTCTCATTTTATTTGGATGTTCTTTGTGTGGAATCAAAAGGATTCCTTCCTCATGCTACGCTACTACAAGAACGTTCATTTTCATCCTGTATTTCCTATGGAACAGACGAGTATGAAGCAGTATATATAATTGTCTGTTATATAATAGGTATATATAATTGGCCATCATGCATTTATTAAATTTGAATCATTTCTAGTTTTTTATTAATTAAGCTTTGGGTGAAGGCCTTAAGAAGCTTGGGAGAAAGTCTCAACGGTGTTTCCTAATTATGCGTTAAAGCCTTTTCGGAAGTCACACGGAAAAGGGGAAGCCTGTAAAAGTTAGCTTTGCTTTTAGTCATCCCATTTGTTGTAGAGAACATAAGTATATTTACTTTGGGCATTAAAATTCAAAATAAGTAAATACAGTATAAAAAAGCGCTAATTATGAGCCAAAAAAAAAATCAAACAAAAAGAGATAAAATAGACAAACATAATTATAAAAATTCTCTTTTGTATTTATGTTTTGAAAAACAATAATAAAAATTTGAATTTACTATGTATAATACCCTCATCATAATACGAACGACCGAGGTTGATTTTGGATTATTGATCCAATTTAATATTTTTATATATTAAATAATTTTTTGTTTTAATGTATACAAAATTCAAAACAAAGATCATTTTATCACTATCAATTCTTAAAAAAAGTAAATTTATTATAATAAAATTACAGATTAAAAATATTAAAAAGGTTAGGTGTCATTGTGATAATGGGCACTGGAATAAGTTACAGCAAAAAAAATAAAAAAATCTTGTTAGTTGGGAGAGGCTTCAACTTTTTTTTTTTTTTAACAAGAAAAGTTTAGGTAAGTTGAATGCCCAAGGTCCTCAGATCAGGATATATTTCTTTCCAGATGCTGCACATGTCACAGCTGGAGGCTTTGCAAAAACTGATATGCTTGTTCAAGTTAAGAGCAAGGCATCAAGGCAGCACCATCGCTAATTCAGTTTTGCTATTTGCATAGTCTGATCATGTGAAGCTAAGTCTATTATTTGAATTGAAGAGGTTTGATAGTAGTTGGGCATGATCGAAGTATTTATGTAAGCTGGCACAAGCCTTTTCTTTTTAAATTGTCTTTGTGACCCTTCAATTAATTGTAATTTTCTGTAAAATACGGTAGCTCAAACTAATTTGTGTATATTGTTTGGTACGAGGGAAATGGAAAGGAAGGAAGAAGAAGGAAAATTTTAACAAGCTCTATATAAAAAATTAGAGAAGTGGGGTTTTGAAATTTTAATAAAGAGAAGAAGAAAAATAAAAGAGTAATAAAAATTAATTAAAAGTTTTTAACATCACTTTTTTATTTTTAAAATCAAGCTCATTAAATTTTTCCTCCCCTCTCCTTCTTTCATTTTCCCTCATACCAAACGGATCATAAAGAAATAAGTGTTGGGCAATTTTCTTTCTCTCTGCTCTCCGTTTTTTCATTTGATGCTGTTTTTCCATTCAGTATGGAATGAACAAAAAGTTGCATTAACGTCTGACGACAGTATGTAAAAAGCATCTATACATTTTGACTATGCTCTATAATTTCATCAATGGCTCAAGGGAGACTAACCTTGTAGATTGATTAAAATCAATTAACTATAAAGATTTATGAATTAGTTTTCCCCAAATCCCAATCACAAAGTATTGAGATGTGAGAATCATAACTGTTGGCAAAAAAAAAAAAAAAACAGAAGAAAAATCATAATCAGGAAGATATTAATTGGAGAGTTTTTTTTTCCAGTGTTCAGATTGAGAACATAAATAAAAGAAAGTTTTAATTAATAACTTGAAAGAGGCCCATCCCTCATGTAAATGGTATGCGCTCCATTCCATGAAGTCTCGCAGACGTAATTCGATTGACTTGGTTGCCTGTATCAACTGCAAGACCACCTTAATTATCTTCCCCAATAGTATAATCCCTCCCCCCCACAGGCCCTGTTTATTTCCTATTGAATTTAAGCTTTTGGATGAAGGCCGTTGGAGAAATTTGGGAGAAAGTCTCAAGGTAATTTCTTAACCATGCATTAAAACTTTTCGGAAGTCAGCCGGAAACAGGTAAAACCTCAAGTCGCGCTTTAAACCAATTACAGCTATATCCCATAATTTAAGGATTGTTGGACAGATGAAAAAAATTTTAGACCCTATCTTTATGCATAATATTGTACCAAAAGCAGAAGAAAAAAATGAGTTTCATTTTAGATTATTCATCCGCCTTCAATACTCTCTCTCTCTCTCTCTCTCTCTGTTTATTATTCATCCACCAGGGTATCCCCAGGGTATCCCCATTTCAACACAAATTCCGCCCTTTCAAGAACTTGCATGCGTGCCGACTTATTTTCCACACTTGGTGGGGCTACCGTTGTGAACATTGCTCCGTGTGTATCAGTATGCCCCACTACCCCTCAAATATGTGAAAAAAATATTTTCAATGTCATTAAAATAAATTTGAATCATTTCTTTTGGTTTTTTTTAAAAGAATAAGATACTTATATTACAATTTAATGCTTATCCAAACAAGCCCATATTTAATTTCATGATAGAAGATAGAACCGGAAAGGGGAAAAAGTACCTTTAATTAACATGCATAGGTTGCCTTATTTATTTATTTATTTTTGGACTGACGTTGGTTGCTTTTTTTTCTTCTTCCCGCATTTGCATGCATGTGTCCTCACCCAATAACTTGGTTTGCCCTGCACCTGATGTACGTGGGGGTGAAGGTCACCGAAAGTAGGGGTGCTCAATTTGTCCGATCTCGGTAGTCCTGTTCCGATTCCGGTGGGTTCGGGATGGGACGCGGGACGGGGGTCGTCCCGTTTGTCCTGGAATTTTTTTCTTTTTAAAAATTATTTATTAATAATTATTATTAGATTATTTAATTTACTTATTAATAATAACTCTTGTTTTTATGGTGATTTGTAGCTCTTAAATTGTAGTATTATCTCAACAAAATCTCCTTCCTTAATAAAATAATTCATAAAGTCATTATATAGTATTTTTTTTACGGTATTTTTTTTACAGTATTATTTTTACACATTTTTTATGCTATATAATTGAGCTTTTTACGTAATTTTTTTATAAAATTTTTTATCTTTAGAGGCCCAAAAAAATAAGTATTAGAACATAAAAAAAATTCATAAAAAATTATATATTTTTTTTTTTAAAAAAAAAGAGAGAAGCGGGACGTCCCGGTCCCGTCCGGGACGGGACACAGACAAAATCCCTGTCCTGTTCATGTTCACGGGACGGGACGTCCCGTCACGTCCGTCCCGTCCCGTGAACACCCCTAACCGAAAGTGCCAGGTTAATTTCTTTTTCACCCTGCTCATAACAGCACAGCAAAATTCCAACTTCCCAGGACCCCATTTCTTTGGAACGCACGGGCCTGTTTGTTTAAATTAACTGCTGACTTCGGTTTTTAATATAAGGGTAGATTAACTAATTTAAATAGATTAAAAATTAGTTAAATTAATTACTTATAATATATAAATGCTGTGTTTTTTAAAAAATTTTTACTAATAAGTATAGTAACTATAATTACTATTAATTTAAGGACTATTTTAAAAAATAAAAAATATAAAAAAACAAAATAGAGTCTTGTATTTAGAATTAAATAAACTTTAAATTAGCTATTATATCGTAACTAGTATTATTTATGAAAAACACATATTAATTTATATTTTTAAAGTGTTTTTTTTAATCATTAACTATTTTTTAATGAAATTTTTTGTTATAATCAATATGAAGATTTTGAGGAAAAAAATTATAAATTTGGAAAATAAAGTGTTAAATCAAAATAAATCTGGGAGGGAATAATATTATTTTACGCCAGAAAAAATCTACACAATGAGAATTCATCCTTGTCAAGTTATCTCCACATTTGTCCAGACATTAATTCACCCCTGCTGTCACGTGTTCCACGAGTTCGTGAAAAATAATGTTACTGATAAAAAGCAAACAAATTAACCCATTTAAAATTATTTATGAACAGATTTTTTACTACCATGTTTAAAATATAAGATAAATATATAAAAAAAATTTATCTCAATTTATATAAAATATACTCCCTCCGTCTCATATTATAAGCAACAATTACCACTTCCCTCTTATTTCTAAATACAAGCAACATTTACAAGTTGTCTTAAATTTTTGTGGTGAATTCTCTATTTTGTCCTCATTAATTATTTATTTTAATATTTAATATATTTACAATTTTATTTCTCAAACCATCATCTCTCCCAACATTCTCTCTCTTATATAATTCTTTTTGTTATAATAATTTTTTATCTCTCTCTTATACTCTCTCTCCCCCATAAATAAAAGTAGTTTAGTGAAAGAACTTCTAATTTTTATATATTTATTATTTTTAACTAATTTTAACTAATATTTTGATCTACATAATGAGTTTCATGTTGCTTATAATATGAGACGGAGGAAGTACTTACTATAAGTAATTTCAAATGTTGTTACGATCAGACCATAGAAAATGTATATACAATTTCGTGGGGATTCTCTGTGCTTATTTCACTGTTGTTTCACCGCTCAGTGTCACGCGCAATCCGTATTAGCCAAAATTTGCAGCTGTGTCTGCACAATTTTCCGGTACGTACCCTATTCCGTATTTATTACTCACACCACACATCTTTATTTATTGACTTGCTTTTTGGGTTTCACCTCACCCAAACAAGAATTCTCTTTTTATTTGCTGAAACTGAAATAAAAATTAAACAAAATAGAAATCAAACAATTGCTTAGGCTTCTCCCAAGGTTTACAGTATGTCTCACCGCTAGAGAGGCTTTATCTTGACTAAAAAGCATGATGAGACTTTCACTTCTTTTGGACAAAAAGATGAGGACTTTCATTGTAAATGTAATGCAAACATATTATTATATATTACTAATTTTTGAAGAGGATAATTATTTGTTCAATTTTATATTTCTCAAAAGCGAACTCAGATGCCAGAACTCACGAAAAGGAGTAAAAACAAAATTTGAGGCAACTTCTAAGTGTTTTTTTTTATAATAAAAATATGACATACTTTACAGGGAGTAATGTTTCTCAAGAAAACTATTAATAAGAACACATTTTCAAAATTGAGAAATTTTCAAAGTTGCATTTCAGTAGGAATAGTTAAAAATCTTCAATAGATACGACGATACTAAATTTGTGCATCTTTACTTTTTGAATGGTGTGCAGAGATAATGAAGCAGACCGAATTAAAGAAATAGTGGAAAGTGCTAAAAACAAGTGCGCAAGCGGTATCCAAGTGAAGATAATGGAGAACACTTTATCGGAATTAAAGAGAGAATGAGAGATGTAGAATCACTATTGGACAAGGAGTCCAACGATGTCCGAATTATTTGCATTTGGGGGATGGGCGGTTTGGACAAAACAACTCTCTCAAGAGCATTATATAACAACTGGTGTTGTGGAAAAAGTGGGAGAAAAATCAAAGACCACGGAATACAGCCCGTGAAGAAAGATCTTATTTTGCGTTAGGGGATAAAAAATCTCCCACTGGCCCTCATGACAGGATGAGACTTAAACGGAAAGAAGTTTTCATTGTTTTTTATGATGTTGATAATTATGATCCAGTAAACAATTTGGTTGGAAGACGCGATTGGTTTAAACCAGGTAGTAAAATCTTAATAACAACCAGAGATAAACAAGTCCTTGGTACTAAAGTAGATCGTGATGCTATATATGAACGAAAGGATTTGGATTCTAATGAGGCTTTTAAACTTTTCTCTTCACATGCCTTCGGAAAAGACTGCCCTGTCCCTCACTCAAAACTAGGAAGGCTGGCAAAGAAAGTGACTCACAGGGCAAAAGGAAATCCATTGGCCCTAATACATTTGGGTAATTCCGCCGTGTCTGGTAAGGAAGATCCAGAAGCTTGGGAAAGCCTATTGGAAAACCTTCAAAAATCACCTGATCCACACATAAACGGTGCCCTAAAATTAAGTCTTGAAAGACTTGATGAGGCAGAGAGAGAGTTTCTCGGATATCGCATGTCTTTTAACTGCTCACGATAATGCAGAGGCAGGTAACAAGCTTTAAATTGTAATAATATTACAATTCAAATATAACGAGCCCATATTTAATTTCATGCTAGAGATGGTAAGGAAAAAACACACAAACTAATTAAATTCCGGTGTTTTACTCGTAGCAAGTGGATTTAAGAGAAACGAGACTTGTAATTTAGGAGAATATTGATCGGTGATATGAAATAAGGAAATGTAAAGGAGATTAGACAAATGAGCAAGACAAGAGAGAAATTGTAGAGAAAGATGGAGTGTATTCTTATTCACTTGGATGTGCAAATTACTCTTCTGATCCTATTTATAGGGCAGAGAGAAGATTTTTTTTGTCCTATCTATCAGTTGCTTCATTAAATTTTTACTATAAATATACTATATTGTCCTTCATTTATTATAGTATAGATAGTTTTTTTTAAAAAAATATATGTTAAATAGGAGTAAAGTTGAAAAGTTGCTATATTTAATAAAAAGTTAATACAGTTTAAGGCTTTCCTTGACCTGTGTGAAACATATTGGAAGTACCTTATAAATAGGACAGATGAGTATTTATTACATAGCCCTCTATTTATAGGGTTTTAACCTCATTAAGAGTAACATAAAATAAGTGAAAAATTAATTCTCATGAGCGCATAATATGTGACCTTTGAGTTATTATGAAATGAAAACTCCTAAAAACCATTCATTAAAGAGGTTATGGATGTGGAATATGAAAGGCCAGGGTTAGGGGAGTTTATGGACCATATAACTCCCCTTTGGATGTCTATAACAAATATTATGCCTCATTAAACTTTATTAGGAAAAATCCATATAAGTTGAAAGCTTATTTAATTTAAATAGAATTAATGAGTTTTAAGGTTTTATTTAGTTTCAGTTAAACATAAAAAGTAACTTATAAATAAAGAATAAAATAGTTAATATAATTTTTCGTCCTTCAAATAAGCTTTTATTTCAATTTTTGTCTCTTAAATTTCAAATAATAGGTTTTAGTCCCTCAATTTTTTTTGCATTTGAAAATATTAGTTCCTATAATTTAATAAATATCTGGACCATTTTGCCCTTTGAAAACTAAAATGAGAGCAAATTAGAGGGATTAAAAAATACATCAACCCAAAATAAAATAGTACTCAATTGTTAATTTATTTCAATGTTGACATGTTGTTAACCTTGTACTATTAACTATAATTCTCTTTGAAAATTCTTCACATGACATTGAAGAACCTGAATTCGTGCCATCTTATATCTTCCCTTTTTTTGATATGTGACTAATTTCAAGATGTTGAAGCCAAAGTGCTACTTGACATACATAATAACAAAACCATTGATTACAAGCCCAAAATGGAATATCATGGAAAAAGAGTGTAGAGTGGTTCATGCATAGGACTACACAGTCTTTCATGACTGTGGATCTCAGTTCCATTCCACAACCTTGGGATGGTGCATTCTTTTTCTGCGCCGTCTTTTCTGGATCATCATTGTCGACTACAAGTATTAACAAATAAATATTCAAATCAAACAAGAAGAAGTAAATCGAGGTTCTTATAGATCTTCAATATTGGGAGATTCATATGCACTTTTTGAATTTTGAGTGATACAACATCTTCTGTTTAATCAATAACTCTTGAAGTCTAAATGTAAGAAAAATATTGGGAAAAACACAGAGAGGATATATATATATATATATATATCCAATTATGTGTGAGTTTTCTACTTTAATTTCACAGGAGCTTCTCCGTCGCTGCCGCCCGCAATCCGTACGTATCAGTGGAAACGTTTACAGGAAATTTTTGGGTGGACTTCGGTATACACCTTTAAAATGTACCAACGTTTAATATTTTTTTATTTTTACTTTCAATTAATTACATGCGTCATATCTTTTATTTTCATAATAAATAGAGATAGTTCAAGAAAAATTTATGAATTTAAAAATAAAATATAGTAGAATTTTATATTTATTTAGGATGGAAAAAAGTACAATAATATGCACTGTACCCACCCGAGCTTTATGGTAAAGGCTAAAAAAAGGGTTCAAAAATGGAAATCAAACGATCATTGATGGCAGCTCGTTTTATTAAAGAGGAGAGGAAATGAGAGCTAATAATAATTAAAAATGTCAAGACTTGCACACATCATTGGCTAAATGCCTCTAATAATCAATTTAAAAAATTATTTTTACGTTTTATGAATTAAAATTATTTTCACACAATACAAAATTTTTTAAAATAAGGGAACTCGAACAACCATTAGATTCGTTTGGCCGACAGGTCGTTCAGGAGCGATTTTCTTTTAACTTTTGTTTAGGCAATTACTTTCAGTAAGGAATGGACGCTAAGGTACACAATTAAAACTAAGTTATAGGTTATCTATTTTCAAGTTTTGCTTGCCTTTGTATCTTGGGAAACAAAATTAGGTTATTTTGTTTTGTTTAATACAAATGAAGCACATGCTCATTCGAACATGTCACCAACAAATTTGAGTTTAAAAACTCATTCACACATATAACAAATGACAACCAACTACGTACCTGAGTTATGTAAATAAAAATTAGTTAAATTAATTAAATATTATATACGAAATACGATGTAAATAAGTACTTAGAGTGTACTTGGATTAATCAACTGAATTATGTAAATAAAAAATTAGTTAAAATTAATTAAATATTATATATGAAATACGATGTAAATAATTAAGGTGTATTTGGATTAACAGTGATAAAACTGACTTTTATTCTATATGACTTTTGAAAAAGTCAGTTAGCCTAATGTGATATATGAATTATTTTTTTTTGGTTTGTTATAAAGTTAGTTTGTTAAATTAAAAATTATTTAGAAAAGTAAGTTTACATATAAAATGATTGAAAAGCATGAATTTTATAACATATATCTCATATATATAATTTAATAATTTTTAAAAAATAATAAATTAAAATAAAAAATAATGGATTCGTGCCTACTTATATCTTCCCTATTTTGGCTGTGTGCTTAATTTCAACTTTTACAAGTAGGATGGGTATACTACTCCGTCCCTTATTATAAGATCCTTTTAACTAAATTACATGGTTTAAGAAAACAGTTAAAATTAGTTAAAAGCAATTAATATGTAGCAAATGTAATTTTTTTCCAAATATACCCCTATATATAAATGGATAGATGTGAGAGAGTAATAGTGAGATAAATGAAGAAAGAGAATATATTTAATACATTAAACTAGAGGTAAAGTAAGTAATAATATAATAAATGTTCAGACAAACACAAAAGATCTTATAAAAAGACAAATCTATTCAAAAAATTAGATCTTATAATAAGAGAGGAGGGAATATATAATTGGTCATCATGCACTTATTAAATTTGAATCATTTCTATTGTTTTATTAACTAAGCTTTGGGTGAAGGCCTTTAGGAAATTTGGGAGAAAGTCGCAAGGTCATTTCCTAAGTACGCATTAAAACTCAAAAAAAAAAAAAAAAAAAAAACTCTTCGGAAGGCACACGAAAACGGGTAAAAGTTGGCTTTGCTTTTAGTTGTCTCCTTCGTTTTAGAGAACAAAGACTCACAAATACATTACTTTAGGCATTAAAATTCAAAATAAGCAAATACAGTATATAAAGAAGTGCTAATTACAAGCCGAAAAAATAAAATAAAAACAGATAAAATAAACATACATAATTTTAAAAACTTATCTTTTGCATGTCTTGAAAAACAATAATAAAAATGCAGGTTTACTTTGTACAATACCCTCGTCATAATAAGAAGCAACCACATTGATTTTCGATGATTCAGATTCAATTTAATATTTTTTTATATTTGGATTTTTTTGTTTTAATATACACAAAATTTAAAAGAAAAATAATTTTATAACTGTCACTTCTTAAAAAAATAAATTTATTATAAATAATTAGAGATTAAAAATATTGGCGCTGGAATAAGTTAAGGCAAGAAAATAAAAAATCTTGCTAGTTTTTATTAGGAGCCTCACTTGACCCAAATTAACTGGCTCATTAGAGCACGCCAGACTTCTGGAAGTTACCTTGTGATTTCCAGAACTCAAAATTAATTATGCAAATACCCGACAATAATATAATAAATAATTGTTAGGGAAATGATAATTAAGTCCAAAAGATCAATAAATACAATGACAGCTCAGATGTTAAAATTTTTTTAAAAAATAAATTATAAATATCATTCAAACAAACAGTAATTCATAAGTATTAATCTTAAACAAGATATTTAAATTTTGAATAAACCTTTCAGTATTTCCAATTCATTTCTCAGCAATTTCTTTGAGAATTTAGCTGCCTTTAAATGATTGCTCTTTGGCATCTCACTGCTTTTACCCATAATTATTATTTTTCCTATAATCTCCATTTTTCATCATTTGTATACACCTTGATAGAATTTATTGGATAATCCTCTTATATCAGAATTGCATAATTCATAGATTTTAAAAATGCAAAAGTACTTATAAATTTGTAAAATCAAAGCAAAAATGACATGGTTATAGTCTTACAGCCATCACCTTTTGTATGTAGTGAGACCCATGATAATGTTTAATAATACTAAAATAACCCTAATTTGAAAAAAAGGTTAATTGTGTAAAAATAATCCTAAACTTTTAACCGAAATACTAAAATGCTCCTGACGTCAGTTTATAAAAATCAATTGGAATGAAAATCACTTTGATTAACCTTAACCCAAACCAACCCACATATTTAAATTGTGACAGAACTGAAAATCTAAAAAAAAAAAAACACAATAAACTAATTAAATTTCGGTGTTTCCTAATAGTATGGGTATTTAAGAGAAACGATCAATATAATTAAGAAGAATATTTGATTGTGAGCATAAAAGAAAGTGTAATTTTTTTTTTGGTAAAAGAAAGCTTTAATTAAGTTCAGAGTGCAGAGTTGTTGGAGGGCCATCCCCCTTTTGAAATGGACCGCATTCCATTCCATGAAGTTTCGTGGTGATTTATTTCCCCCTTTGAAACGGGGAGTCACAT